TTATATATTAGGTTTTGGTTGCTCGTGAAAAATGTTATTTTTTAGGTGATTCGCCGATACATGTAGCTTTTCACAATTCATATTCTATATGGAACAGTAGTCTCTTGGACTGAAATGCAGTCTTTCAAAAGTACTAAAACATTTTTGGTTCAAACAAACAATACTCAATCACCTGAAAATCACTGTTATTTACTGTACCAACGAAGGCATATCTCTTTTCCTTCACTTTTATAAGAGGCGATTTGGCTTTTTTAGTGCATATGTTTATGCGGCTTCTTGACATCTCGGCTTTGGTTTTGAATCTGGTAGGTGTGTGCCTATAAGGACGGTGAAGTAATTATTGACACTGCTGCTGGGGTGCTTGGAAGATATGATCCAAGACCAGTTCAGCCTGATAGTTTATTCCCTGTATTTTCTGTATCAAAAGGAATTACATCAGGAATGGTTCATTGGCTGGTTGATAAGGGGTATGCATAATTGTTAAATGCTTCTTCTGTTTCATGCTAGTGTTCATCTTAATTTGAGGCTACTATTGCAGTTAAAGTTCCATCATCAAGCACCCCTGTTTAATCATCTCATTATGTCTTAGTGTTATCTAATTGTTTCGATGGTGAAACATTGGAGACTTAGCATGGTTGGTGTGCTGTTTGACGAGTAGTTTTTGGGAAGGCTAAGTGGGACTGGCAGTGGCAATAGATGGCCATTTTATTTGAAAGATTAGCCATTTTTTATCTTGATTCAGCAGTTCTGTTTGTTCTATATCCAGATTATTTTATTGTTGTGTTCAGCGGGCCATGAACTTGTAACATTATTTTTGAAAATTGTTAGTTTTTTTTTTTCTTTGTCCTAGTTGATATATTTTGTAGAGTATCTTAAGCGATCCTCGAAACTTTTCACAGAACAGTTATAGAAAATGAGCTCATAAGCATTTTTTTGGTAGTGGAAATGTGAACATGACTTTGTTGGGAGTAGAGATAATATTCACACTCTGAAGTCCATGCCTCAGGAAGCTGAAGCTTGAGGACAAAGTTGCGAATATTTGGCCAGAATTTGGATCCAGTGGTAAAGATCAAATAAAGGTGATATCTTGGCTCCAAAGTTTGTACCAGTTTACTTTGGTTTGTTGTTATTATTTTTTGAATTTGTAGTTGTTTGGAAGTACCAAACCAGATAGGAGTTAAACCTTTGTGGCTATTGAAGAGTTAATATGCTTATAAAGTATAGACAAAATGACGATGATGATGACGACGACATGTAAATGTGTAACTTGAATTTTCATACATCCAAGGATTTTAACTGATGACTAAATGTTGTAGTACTTTGGTGACCAGCTTCAGACAATTAGATTTTCATAAACATATCTTAAACAATTTGGTTGGATATGTCAAAACATTTTTCCTAATTGATTTCTTATGCTCCAGGTCCATCATGTGCTTAATCACACATCTGGTTTGCACAATGCCTTGGCCAGTCTTACTCGTGAAAACCCTCTGCTCATGACTGATTGGGATCAGTGTTTGAATTGCCTTACAATGACGGCACCAGAGACTGAACCTGGCCATGAGCAGCTGTACCATTATTTGTCTTTTGGCTGGTTGTGTGGTGGTATTATTGAGGTATCAAGGATTCTACTCTTGCATATTAGATTCAAGTAGTTT